CTTTCCGCAGTGGTGGAAATGTTCTATCTGTGCCATCCAGTGTGGCAGCCACTGGTCACTTGTGACCATTGAACACTCAAAATGTGCCAACTGTGACCAAGGAGCTCCATTTTAAACTAATTTAATTGTAATTAATTTAAACTTAAATTTATATGCCCACATGTGGCTAGTGCTCACTCCCCCCAGTTGGATAGTGCCATATTAGGAGATGATTCATTTCACCCAGAATTCATTTTATAAACTTTTATTGAATATCTGCTGGCTCTAGGGAGCAGCTAGGCCTTAGGTTATAAAATGAATTTTAAAAAATGAGACCCCTACTCTTGAGGGGCTCACAGGCCACACCAGACACTATAAAACAGTGGCACATACGTGACCTGGACCACTCGTCTTCGGGCATGAGGGCCTCTGCTCTGAGCTCTCTCCATGCTGGTTTTTACTGAGTTCAGCCAACAAGGTCATTCTCATTTCAGGCCACCTCTTGGCCTGGCTGGTTCCCCTGGCCTGAGCTTGAGTACACCTCCACAGAAAGGCCTCCTCTGACCACCCAGTTGAAAGTGGGGTCCCCCTCCTGCTGTCCGTTGTACCCAGTTTTCCGTTGGGGCACTTCTCCCAGTTTATAATTACACTTTGGTATTTATCGAATATCTCAAGCTCAGAGCTCCTCAAGGTCAGGGATCTGATCTCCATTGTCCACCCACAAGGTCAGCCCGGGATGAAACTGACCAAAATGTTGGAAGAACAGAGTCAGTGTGTGCAAACAGTTTTGGGGGAACCAAGAAGAGGGGCCTGTAACCGAGCTTGGAGAAGGGTTGGTGAGTCGGGACCAGTTTCTTGAATAAATCTTAAAAGCAACATGAAAGGGTAGTTGCAGAAAAGCATTTCCTTCAAAGATGAGAAGGAGCAGTGGGAAGGAAAAGGAGTGGGGGGTGAGGGCAACATGTGGGTTCGGGGACCTGCTGGTGGAGGACCTGGGGTGTCCTGGAATGGACCCGTCTGTCAGGGCTGGCAACCTTTTTCTTCAAAGGGTTAGAAGTACCTCCTTTAGGTTTTGCAGACAGGGTTGTAAGGTCTCTGTAGCAACTTGTGAACCCCACCATTGGAATGCAAAACAGCCCTAGACTATATGCAAATGACTGGGTATGGCTGTGTTCTGATAAAACTTTATTTATGGGTGCCGATATTCAAATTTCAGATCGTTTTCATGCAATCTCAAAAGTATTCTTAATTTTTTTTTTTTGATTATTTAAAAATATAGCAACCATTCTTAGCTCATGGACCACCAAAAACAGGCAGTAAGCCACATTTGGCCTGGTGTTGCAGTTGCTGATAGCTGCTACAGGTGAGGGGGTGGAGAGGTCAGATCAGTATTCTAGGTAGCTCCTTCTGGCTTCAGTGGGGTTTCAGGACTTGGGTCTGAAGGTCGTGACAGGTTTTGGTAAGAGGCTGAGCAGGGGTCTGGGTGATGGAAGGTGAGGGCCAGAAATAAGTCAGTGTTAAAAGGATGCAAAAGAAAGGCCTGCTTTGAGGTGTGCATTTTGGAATCCAAATCAGCAGAACTTGGTGATGGAGGTGCAGAGGAAGGAGTGAAAGAATGCTGTCCCAGTTTCAGTTTAGTGGTCAGGTGGCCCAGCAGAGAAGCATGGTGCATCTTAATGCATATTTAAGTCTGGGGCCATTCATAGGGTCTTCTTTTATCTGCAAAAGGAGAGGAGTGTTAGTAAGTAGTGCCTCACTTTGTCATGAGATTACTCCCCTGGTTGTCATTTAGCATAGATAGTTTTGTTTGCTGTTGAAAGGATAGTCTAATTCCAAGCGTCACTCCATAAAAATGATACCCCAATGGTCTGTAAAAATTACCTTACCGTATTGACATTTTCTCCTATCCTATCGCACCAAGAGAAGAAACTAAATAATCTCTTTCAAAGTGTATCATTGCAGTAGGTAGGCCAGGCTTCCCATATTAAAAGAAATTCAAGTGGTGGGATCTGGGATGTTGATTAGAGTAGAACTCCCTCTTTCTCTGTTTATTCATAAATCTTTTTTTTTCTAAATCTCAGCAGCTTTTGCCTTTTCAGCAAACGATGAAGAGAGAGTAGAAACCTTGTAATCCCACTTGTTAGTAAATGTTGCATTACCATAAAATTACATAAATCGTCAATGTAGGATTTCTGCTATGTGAATGTTAATGAAAGCTGAGTTAATTTTTGTTATAATTTAGCATGCTACTCAGGAACAAAGAAGGCCAAGTTAAATACAAAAATGTGTGTATGTGGTGTTCATCCTGCAAGTCTGCACTGAGATAACACTGGTAAGATTGGAGTGAATTTACCAAATGTATTTTGCAATATCGTATCCTTTATTTTCATGATATTGATTTTATCACTCTTTCGGTATTAGTTTTCTCCTCCTGGAGTGTGAAGTAGCTAAGTTCAGTTTCTGTAGCATTCATTTTTTTTCTTTCTGAAAGTTGTTGAGGGATTTATTGGGTGCACATCTGTAGTACCTGGGCCTGGAATTCTTCAGCTGTTCTCTATGGTCATCTACTCAAGAAATTTATTAAGTCAGCATGTGAAAAAATGGGTGAGAAAATGATTGACTTTCTGAAATTGGCAGTATTGAAAGGTTGCTTTAGTATCATAAGACAAATAGTTGACAAATTACCAGGGTGAAAGTTCTCAAACCAAAAGAATCTCTTCTCAGTGTGATTGCCCACTTTAGGACAGAACTTTGGATGTAAAGGTATTAATACTCCTGAGAGAGATGTCTTGTCCCTCCCTTTTGTTTTATACCTTTCTCCCCTCCACCTCCCTTCCCTGACCCAGCACCCTTTAGCGCTGTGGCTGAATACTCCCAAGTGTAGTGATTGGAATAATGTATCAGCAGTAGCTTGTATTGGTAACGCTTCTGCCAGGCATTATGTTAAATGTTCCCACCTGTATGTTGAGATATGCATTAGCATCCCCAGTTTGCAGATGGGGAAAATGGAGGCCTGGAGAGGCTAAGTAACTTGCCCAAGGCCACGTGGCTGTACCTGGTAGAGCTGAGAATCAAAGCTGTAGTGCACGTTGTGGTAGGACTTCAGACTGTGTGCCACTGGGCGGTACCTGCAGGACCAGCCCCAACACTCCCCCCTTATCCTCACTATTGGGCCACTCCACACCCAGCCAGCCTCACTGATGGTCACTACACTGAGCCAGACACCAGAGGTTCTGTAAACGTGAGCCTCCTCGGCTGCCTTCTAATTCTTTGCTAGACCCTGCCCCACCTTCCTATCCCAAGTCTTTCAGATCAGAGGCAGCTCAAAATACACTCAAGGAGTGCCTGGGAGTGGCCTGCTGGATTTACATCACCAGCACCACCCATTCCCTTCCTACCTAAGCAGAAAAGATTTATTGGAGCAGGATACACTTCTGAGTTATTTCCTAGTGTATTAGTCCATTTCTGTTGCTTATAACAGAATTCCTGAAAGTGGGTAATTTATGAAGAAACTGAATTTATTTCTTACAGTTTTGGAGGCTGGGAATTTCAAAGTCCAGGGAACACGTCTGATGAAGGCCTTCTTCTACAGCAGTGCAGGGTATCACATGGCAAGTGGGCTGAGCAAGAGAAAGCTGACCTCCTCGTTTGCTCTCCTTTTAAATCCATCAGAACCACACCCATCACCACCCATTAACCCATCACCACCCATTAACCCATCAATGGATTGATCCATTCGCCATTTACAAGGGCACAGTCCCGACGATCCAATCACCTCTTTAAGGCCTCATCTTTCTGTTATAATAGTAAGATTTCCCACCCTCTTAACGCTGTTACAGTGGAGATTAAGTTTCCAGTACATGAACGACTGGGGGACACATTTGACCTGCAGCATCCCATATAGTTTTGGAATCTGTCCTCTAATGGACATCCCCCATGACAGTGGATGTCATCTCTATCCTGGGTTATTACAGAGACATCTTAACTGGATGCTTAGTCCCCAGTCTTGTCTCTCCCCAGCCTGTTCTTCCCCCAGAGTCAGATGTTTCTATAACATAAATTTTATTACCATTCCCCTTCTAAAAACCTTTGTGACTTCCCATTGCCTTTAGTATCAAAATAATCCTTTTAGGTTGCTCCTAAAGCCATGAGTGATCTGGCTTCTACTTGCCTCTCCAGTCTTGTACCCCTGGTGTCCTCCATCTGGCTTTCAGAACCTGCCGTCGTTTTGCCAGGAAGCCGTTTCTTCCTCTGAGGCCTTGCACGTGCTGTCCCCTTCGGCTGTAGTTCTTTCCTGTTTACGCATGTGTCTTCTCCGTCACTGTAGTTGTGCATAGTTAAAATTCTTGGTGCAGAGTAAAAGCTCAATAAACATGTCTTGCATGAGTAAATGAAAATTACCCATTTTATTTTCATTTTTTAACCATTTGGATCTGTCAATTTCCCACATTCATTATGCTTTCGCCAGTATTACTCATTTGACTTCATCTGGCTTTTCAAAGGTAGACATTTTACTTTTTCTTCTTCTCACCTTCTTTGGTACCACTCTTTGTGCTCTCCTGTTTAAAGATATTTTTTACTACTTTTCAGTCTACTCTTTGTGATTACCAGCACAACAATCCTGGGTTACTGACGTCCGTGTTTACCGGGACCGTTGAAGAATACAGCTGCAAATCTCACAGCCTGCTGTGCCCAAACCTGTTGAAAGAGTATTGTGTTTGTTGCATAATGTCTTCAAGGAATAGAATTTTTATCTCAATTGTCGGTGGGAGCAGGAAGGAGTAAAGAAGAAAGGGGTTTGTGACAGGCAGTGGATTTGAAGGAAAGAGGAAATCGTGTGAACTAAAAATGGACCTCTAAGTAGAAAGTGTCTCTGGTTACAATTATGCATATTTTGGATGTCAACCCAGATTTTCGTAGTGTATCCCACCTGCAGCCTCCTATCTCACAGCTATTGCACAATTGCTGTTGACGTTTCCTGATGAATAGCAGTTGTTCTCTGTTGTTTCTTCTGTTTGCAGAGGTTACATTGAAAGTGCACATCAGCGACGCCAGCACCCACCAGCCCATCGCGGATGCGCTCATCGAGATCTTCACCAACCAGGTCTCCATCGCCTCTGGCACGTCGGGGACAGATGGCGTTGCCTTTGTTAAGTTCCAGTATAAGCTGGGCAGTCAGTTGATCGTCACCGCCACGAAGCATGCCTACGTGCCAAACTCTGCCCCATGGAGGCCAATCCGATTACCTGGTAAGGGGTTCCTCATCCTTCTGAAAGTCAGAGTTCCTGTTATAGGCGAGCGATGGTGGAGCCAGACACAGAACAATTGGGAAAGTATGAGTCAGGCAGTGGGTAAAATATGCGTGTCTGATATCTTTTTTCCCTCCTGGGGCCCCCTTCCATGAATGAAAGGTGGGATCAGGGGTGAAGCTGGTTGGGGCTCTACCACGTACACACAACACGCAGTGGGATCAAGAGCTCTGGGGCTTCAGCTCCTTTCCCCATCGCTCCATTTTAGACCTTATTGATTATAAGTAGGGGGAGGAGATCGGGGTGGTGCTTTAGGATGGAGCTTCCTCATCTGCTCTTTCTCATTGTTCATGTGGGGGCCTGAGAGCAAGGATTTCCAAAGAGGCAGGAAGTGACTGCGAGATGCTTCTCTCTTTTCCCCTTCTGAACGGTTCGCCATTTCAAGGCTATCAGTCAAGCACAAGGAGCGGGGACGGAGCCTGGAGCACATTCAGACTGGGATGGGCCAAGTGGGGAGCAGAGGGGCCGGGACTACATTAGTCCATTTCTGTTGCTTAGAGCAGGATGCCTGAAACTTGGTAACTTATGAAGAAATGAAATTTATTTCTTACAGTTTGGAGTCTGGGAAGTCCATAGTCTAGGGAACATATCTGGTATGGGCCTTCTTCTGGGTGGGAGCACTCTACAGGATCCCATGGTCCCCAGGGTGTCACATGGCAAGAATGGTCTGAGCAAGAGAGAGTCAACCTTCTCACTCGCTCTCCTTATGAAGCCATCAGAACCATGCCCATTACTCCATGAATGGATCAATCCATTCACCAGGGCACAGTCCTCACAATCTAATCTAACCTTCTTAAAGGCCCCACCTGTCAAATACCATAATAGGATTTCCCACCCTCTTAACACTGTTACAATGTAGATTAACTTTCCAATACATGAGCTTCTGGGGGACACATTTGACCCATAGCAAGGCCTCTTCTGTCTTCTCACCCCAGGCTCTATCCAATGCCTGGACCACATTATCAATTGCACCACAATTAGGTGAGCATCGAGGCTGGGCCTAAGGATGGAGAGAGATGCTGCTGGGGCGATGGGGGCCTGTGGGCTTTGGAAGCAGACTGGCCTGGGCTCTAGACCCCACTCTGTGACTGAGCCACTCCAGCTTCAATGCCAATCTCTGCAAAATGGAACTAAGACAACCTGGTGGAGTAGTTCTGATTAACAATTAGTTAACATATGTAAACTAAGGTATAGCACCTAAAACCCAGTGGGTGCTCAATACATGGGTAGCACCGAGCATAGAGCCTGACAAAGTACCATGTTAGTACTCATCTCTGCCCCACTGCATGACCTGACACACTCCTTCAAGGACCCTGCTGCCTCTGGAGACATGCAGCCATACCTGGAAGTATTTTTTCTGTCTTATGAAGCCCCAGCATCTACCCAAATTCACAAACTCCTGTCTCATCATTCACTTACATGTATTAAGTATCTACTATGTATCAGGCACTGCCCTGGGCACTGAGATGCAGATCTAGAGCCACAGATCTTGCCCCTAGAGAGTTTCCAGTTTGATTGTGCAGTCAACCACAGAAGCTGTTTCCATCAAATAAGAGAAGTGCTCAGATAGACCTACGTATAGGTGCAGTATCGGCTGCTTGGGGAGTGTTTAACCAGCCTAGGTGAGGGAAGCCAGGCTTCCTGGAGGGGATAAATGGGGGCCTGAGTCTTGAGGATAATAGAAACCAGCATCAGAATGCTTATAAAAACATGCAGATTTCAGGACTCAACCATTCAATCTGGGGGGTTGGCTTAGGAGACTGCATTTTAACAAGCAACCGCATCAGCACCACCACCTGATACTTATGGATAAAAATGTTCACTAAAGTTTGAGCTATGGAAAGTGGATTTGATACAACTAAGAAGATCATTTAAGAACGCTTTAGAGAAAAGGGGATACACCTGAGGAATATTTAGCAGGCAAAATCCAGAAGGCTTTGGAGAATGGCTGGAAGAGAGGTTAGAGAGAGGAAGAAATAGAAGAAATATAAGTTGAAGCTTGGGTTTCTGCCTGGTGACAGAGCGGAGGGTAAGCAATGGAGTCAGGAGAACTGCCTCAGCACATGTCCCTGAAGTTGATGCACCTGACACATTTAAGAGTTTGAACAAGGTTAGAGAAGTCCCCTTCCTCCCTCTCCCCAAGCTCCAGGCTCAGGCACAGGTGGATGGTAGTCAGCAAAATGGGAGGAGAAGGACAGTATTGGAGTCGTGATTGATGATCAGCTGAGTCTAGGGCATGTTCGGTTTCAATTGCCTCTGGGACACCAAGTGAGCATATTTGGTCTTTAGTGTGAAATGAATTTGGGGTTCAAGAGAGAGGTCTGGGCTGGAGGTTTGGGTCATCAGTGGTGTGGAGGTGAGAATCAAAATTCTGAGCTCAACCCGAGAGTGAAGGTAGCAGGACTGAGCAGAACCCCCGGGCCAGCAAAACAGGAAAGGCAATCTTTATTAGGTTACATCTGAAGGAAAAGTCCACCTCCCCGGTTTCCACACTGAAAAGTCACTGGAAATAACCAAGGGGAAGTTTAAATAATATCTACCTGTCTTGGGAGAACAGCCACATGAAGTACAGTCAATCCTCATTATTCGCAATAGTTATGGTCTATAAAGTCACCTTGAACTCTGAATTAGCAAATTCTGAACCACTGCAGGGAAGTACAGGGGGTAGATACCTGCAAGCCTCTGGTCAATACATTTTCACCAACCGAACAATACATAACTTTATTGTATGTGTGTTTCTGTTTAAAGACACCTTATTTAATATACAGATACCTCTTGACTTAAAACAGGGTTATGCTGGCACATTCCTTTGGGGCCGGCCCGGTGGCGCACTGGATAGTGCGCCGCTTGGGAAGCGCGGCGGCGCTCCCGTCCGAGGGTTCGGATCCCATATAGGGATGGCCGGTTTGCTCACTGGGTGAGTGTGGTGCTGACAACACCAAGTCAAGGGTT